GTGTACGCCCTAGCCTGGCGAGCGCGCCGAGTGTCTCGCGGGAAGCGTGTTAAGGCCGGGAAATGTATGGCACGGGTTTATGCCGAGCTAGAATCGGATCCCCTGGCGGAGGCGGGCGATCTACCGGTTCACTCTGGTTTTATTGGAGCCTGGGATCTCAGCCTTTACAGGAACAGCATCGCGCTCTGCAGGGTCCTCCCAGGCACCCCCAAACCCTGCAAAGAAAACTCCAGCGATGCCTTGAAGAGAACAGCGGCCCGTCATTTAGGGAGGCAGCACAGGAGATCCTCTGCGGAAGAGAACGCCGTCTCCTCCATCACCTCGCGGAGCTGAAGGAGCGGAGAGAGGGGATGAATTACTTCTCCACTTCTAATTTTTTTCTCAAGTTGAATAAAGCTTTTTTTCTTTCTCCCCGTCCAGTGGAGGCGGGCTGGCAGTTTCAAAAGTACCTTACTCAATACGTAGGGGAGGAAAAGAAAGCTGGTCGAAGAAAACATAAATACACTCATACAATAAAAGCTAAATATGAAATAAAAGCTAAAAAGTCCATTTATCCTCCATTAGTAGAGCAAGTTTGAAGCAGGTACTGTGCTGGGGGCTGGGATGTAGGTGGGGCGAAAAAAGAAATTTCCAAATATTTCCAACATTGTTAGTGTTTGGGCTAAAGTGCGCAGGGGGAAAAACATGAGACCAGTTCCTGGGTATTTTCCAATTTTGAGTGAAGTCTAGTGAAGGGGAAAGAGGCAATTAACTAAATAAGACAGGCGATACTACGCCCTGAGTGAGAAAAGAAGGGGGAGGCCACCTAACCTAGACGGTGGGAGGAGTCAGGTAGAGGGCAGAAAATCTTATCCATGCAAAAGCCTTAAGAGTGAGTTAGGGTGGGAAGAAGCTAAGAGTGAAAGCGGGGAGAAATTCTAGACAGAGGTTTTATAAGTCAACCCGTGTCATTCTGCTTCAAGTCCCACAGACTGCCCAGCTCACTTAGAATAACACCTACATCCCTTAACCCAGCCTTCAAGGCTCTGCACTCTGGGCCCTGACGTGTTGATGAGTCTGGTCTGGGTTGCTCTTGTTCCTGCCCGGGATCATCTCCTGGACATACTCATGACTTCCTAAAGTTAGTTTTGTTTTTTTGTTTTCCCACAAAACCAAAGCACACTCATGATGGGTTCACAATTTTAAAAACAGGAAAGTCTCAGCCATGCAGTAGCAGAAAGTGTTTTTGGTTCACACACATGCTATGAGAGGGACCTTCTCTAGCACTTCCCCTTCTGTAAAGTAGTGACTTTCTTTCCACATATGGATAACTCCAAGAGCTGATATATGTATACATTTTTCTTTTTTTCCCTCAGCTCCTCTTTCCACCGAATTCCCTCTTTGTCACACAACATGGGATCACCAATCTCAAAGGAAATCCTGTTGACAATGTAGTATAAATCTTTCCTTATTGTTCCAGGCTGTTTAAGACTGTACAGACAAAAATACAAACACACAATACTCATGCATGTAAATGCAAATATTGAACTTTCATAGTTGTCTGCATTTTGTTTTTCTCACTGAAAGCTTTGTCCAAATGCTCGAAAGTCAACAGTTAGATTTAACACATTCTTTTCAATGGCTAAACATTATTTTTATGGTATGGCTATGCCATAATTTATATATTTGTTTCCCTTTTCATGAAAATTCACTCTGTTTCCAGTTTTTGCCATTAAAGACAATGCTACAATGAAAATTATTTACATGTGTTTCTCCACAGACTGATGTATTTTCTCTCTCTCTTTTTTTGGTGGCTGGCTGTTATGGGGATCCAAACCCTGGGCCTTGGTTTTATAACACCATGCTCTGACCAACTGAGCTAACTGGCCAGCCTGATCTTTTTTTTCTATGGGATAGATTCCAAGTGGAATTGCTGGGTAATGGATTATATTCATATTCATATGCATATATGTACATGGGTTTTATGTTTCTATTTATATTTAAATATTGCCGGATTGCCTTTCAAAAAGGGTGTAATGTGGTTACATTTCACTAGCAATTAGATTACCCTTTTCCTTACATCTACTCCAGTAACAAAGGTCTTTTTAGTTTTGTCAGTCTGGTGGCTGTAAAATATTATAACATTGCTATTATAGAGTATACCTTTTCTTGACTATCAAAATATCCAACTTTTAAGATTTTTTTGGCTATTTGGTTTTTCCCTTCCATAAATTGTCTATTCAATCCCTTGCCCTTTTTTCTGTTAGATTGCTTTCTTTTCTATTTTTTATAAGTGCTTTTAGTATATTATAGGTGTTAACGCTTTGCCTGTCATGAATATTTCAAATTTTTTTCTGATGCTATTATTTCCCTCTTGAATGTATGCATTTGCCACAAATACTTAAGCAATTTTTATGTAGTTGTATTTGCTTTAATAGCATTCGGGTTTTCCAATCTTGGTTTATAAAAGTCTCCCCAAATCCTGCCTTTTTTTCACAGTCTCTTAAGTGAAAAAAACTCCCAAGAAAAAACTGTATAAAACCATAAACAACTGCCAAGAAAATCCAATTTTACATTTGGGTCTTTAATTCACCTGGGGTTTATTATTTTCTATTATTGAAGTAAATAAAATATATTTACTTTTATTTTCTTTCACGTAGTTATCTAATTTT